CAGGTCCCACTGGATAAGGGACAGCCTGGCCTCTCCAGGGTTCCCCCTTCCCCTGGCTCTGGTGAGGGGCCCTCCCCGGACCACCCCGGGGCAATCGCCTCCCAGCAACCCCATCCAAGAGCCAGTCCCTGCTGGCTTGGAAATGCTGTATATATAAGTCTATATTTTTTCCTCCTTTGTAACTTATCAATGGTTTAATAAAAAGATAAAATTTACAAGAAAATAATAATATTAATAATGATATCCCCCACTCTGGTTGGAGACTTGCCCCACAGCAGGAGTAGCCCCAGCTCCTGGGGATATGGGGTGGTGGCTGGAGTTTGGGACACCTGCCTGTGTTTGGAAGGGAGTGCTGGTCCTGAGCCCCATCTCTCTGAGGATCTTCCCAGAGCCCCCTCCCTGCCATGGGGCAGTTAGAGAGGCCATGAGGCAGTTCTCTCTCAGGGCCCCAGTTACTATGGTAAGGGTATCTCCAACCCACTGTGCCACCACCACCCCTGGGACCTTAGTGGGTGGGCTGGGGGTGATGTACACCTGCAGTATCTCCCAAAAGGGTCCAGTCCCATTTCTGGCACCGGGGACCTCAGGGGCGGGCCCCCAAGCTCTGCACGAGCAATAAAATCAAAGGGGAATGGTAGCTCCCAGTCCCTTCTGGCTGCTGCTGCCCAGAGCATCTCACACCGCCACCCCCTGCCACCCTGTGCCACCGTGTCCACCCCAGTGCGCCCCTGGCCAGCAGCCCGGTTCAGCTGGCACGTGGCACCACTGGCTAGGCTTCAGCTGGGCAGCTGTGTCCATAAACAGCCTGGCACAGACCCCTGGCCAGCCAGTTCTTCCCCCAGAGGGGTGGTGCCTGCCAGCTGGGTGGGACAGAGGGCACGGCTGGGCATGGCCACGGGCATCGCATGCTGCCATGACAGCAGGACAAACAGTGACATGGCCAGAGTCCCACAGGTGCCATCCCCCTGATCAGTACAACAGGGAGCAGGAGTTCCTCCACTCAGACATTAGTTTTGAGTTAAACAGCCAAGGATGGAGGTCTCCGTATCTGCCATCCAGGCTCAGCAGAGTGCCTAGGGCCCTGGTGTTACTGGTGTTAGTGGTGTTAGCTGGGACATTGCTCCTCGGTAGGGTGCAAGGGACTAGAGTACTTTTCCCAGCTGGACATGGATGATCCCAGCAGGGCAATGGACATGGAGGTGCCCCTTCCTCTGCCCCTGCGTAGGAGTCCCTTGGCATTCCATGTCCTGAAGAGAGCTCACCCATGCAACTGGGCTGTGTTGGTGGAGCCAGAAACAATCCCAGCCTGAAGAAAGGACATTGGGGCTTCCCCAGGCCTGCTGCTTTCTCCCAGCAGAGAAACCGTCTTCCACCACAAGTTCAGAGGAGAGGCAAAATCCAAACAAGAACTCCTCCAAAACCAAGATGCTGGATCTGAGCAGGTGTGATAGGTCCCTAGCAGTTCTTCTGTCCAGCACAGTGGGACAGAGCCTCCTGCTTCTCAGCTGCTCTCTTCGGGAACTTGACCTGTGATGGGAAAGCTTGTTGTGGCCTGGTCCAGCCTGTTCCTGGGACTGGGGCTGTTGCAGCTGGTCTCCAGCGTACAAGTTGCTCTCTGAAGGAACTGCAAGAAGTTTTCCTGGACAGAAGCCTCTGAGACAGAAAGACAGAGCTCCTGACCCAGTGGCTGGTTGAGGCAGCTGCGTCGGAGCCGGGACAGCTCCTCCCG